CAAAAACTCAAGCCAAAATGATCAAGAAACGAGGGTGCAAACATGTGCAAATACGACGTTATCAAATTCCCCCACACTTAACCGTTTGCTTGTCCCCAAGCAAGCCTGACTCAAACCAATGCAACTATCCAGAAATTTATAGAAACAGGCAACCACGATCGTCGGTAGAGGATTTCCTAGATCATTTAGCAGCTTACGAGGTCAACCGACGCACAAGTCATCTCCTAGCTTCTTCGGCGAGAACGCTAGTCTCGAGTCTCATGGCAAATAGTGATTAGAGGACAAATGAATCGTGGACGAAGGGACTCTCAAAAACAAAAAATCATGGACTCACATTTTTAAGGTTCTCTATTTTCTTCTTGAAGATGGTTGGAACCCTTTTTTTTTCTTCTTGTTTCTCTTTTTTTCAAGGGTTCCAACCTGTTTTTTTTCTTCAGAAAATGGGGCTCCCACCTAGCAAAGGTTTTGAGGAAGCCCGGCTCTTACCGGCCATGCCGGGAGCGGATGTCTCGAGCCTCGTGCGGGGGAATAAATGTAAGGGGGCTGGAGGTAGTAGGTGGAAATTGGGAACAGATTCCCGTCCCCCCTTACACACTTTCGCCCTTTTCGCACGGGAGACGTTATTTTAAAGCACATTTTCTAGAACCTTTTACTTCAAAACATGATAGAGGTGTCCATGACAGATAGAGAGCCCACAATACCACATAATTCAAGGGTCCTAAGATCACTAATTCACACAATCAACCAACACAATATGAAGAAGAAAGGAGACTTCTTAAATGCATCAACATCCTCCATAGTGCTACACTACCTCCCTAGGTTGCATATTACTATAAAGACTGTCAATTCAAAGCATACTGAGCAGGAAGTTGCAAAGAGCACGTGCTTGGAGCCCTCAAATAAAAATTTGGACAGACGACTAGGCTCCAAGCACACACATACAGCCAAAACATTCACACGCATACATAATCGAACATCCCCCCACACTTAAGCACGACATTGTCCTCAATGGAGGAAATATAATGAGGGTAGAACGAAGTTACCAAATCAAGTGTGAATGATGGTGAACGGGGCAGGCGGTGCATTCCAGGAGGAGAGAGAGCAGTCAGAACACAAACACCACACAAAATCTCACAAAGGTTGAGTTATTGGCTCTAAAATCAAAAGACAAACTGACTCAACCGAAGAGACATAGGGAAAGAAAGTGCAAACCGACTGGTTGGGTTGCCACCCAACAAGCGCTTCTTTCACGTCGTGAGCCAGACAATGGCTCTTAAATTTCGGTCCATGCTAGAACCTCCTTGAAGTTGATGTTCTCGTCGGCGAGGCGGAGTCTTAAGTCACGAGCACTTGGTATGACTGGTGATGTAGGCTCATGTACTTGATGATTATGAAGTCTCCACCCGCGAGACCTCTTCTTTTCTTCCTCTCTCGTCTCATTGCCCCAAACCAGATATGACAGCATTGACTGACCACCATCGTGTCCACCAAGAGGGACCGATGTCGATGTGGCCTTGGTCTGGCAAAGAGACACTACAAATGGGTCCTTGCCAAGCAGCTCCTTGAATTTTGGTGGAGATATCACAAGTAACTCATAGCCGGTGCAAGCCTCTTCCACCTCAACTTCGTCCTCAGCCTGGACGCCAATTGCTTCTTCAACCCCCTTCCTTCCTTAGAATTTGATTCCTCCCCTGGGAAAAGATCAAGAACTTCCTCTAATTCACTTCTGTCATCCTCCACAACTTCTTTCCTCATCCTTTCTCGCTCTTCTTCTTCTAGCACGGATTGGAGAGCATGTCGGCATGCAATCTTTTCAATAAGATCAGCTTGCATCTCCTCACTCATGCCCGCCTCTTCAGCGCTCGGTGTGGGATTCGGAAAGGTATGGTTGGCTACAACAGGACATTGCTGATCATGATCATCACAAAAGCTCTTTATGACAAACTCTGTATGCTCCACGACATCCTCATGATTGCCTTCTTCTTCCTCCTTCTCTGCTTGTATTGTAACATAATGGTTGTCTTGAGAAAACTGTGCAGAAGCTTTCTCAATGACCTCTATGTGCTTCTTTATGCTCCAAAGGGTCTCCTCTGTTTCACTGGGAAAGGAGAAGTCAGTTTGGGAAATGGCCTGAACATGAGGATCCAACTCGGGAAAGGATCTCTTAGGTACTCGAGCAATCTGCTCCACGAGAAGCCTCAAGTGATAATTTGGATCTGGCTGTGGAGTGTAGCATGGCTCTGTCGGATGGCCCGTGAAGGCTGTGGCTAGCTCAAGATCTGATGGCCCTTCTGGTTGTGGGAGGAATTCTTCTTGATAAGGATATTTTTCTTGAAATATCCAGGGTTCTGATTGTTCTTCGTAGTAGGGGAGTTGGTACTGAAACCGAACTCCATAGTCTTCTCCTCCTTGGTTGCTCCAGGAAGTCTCTGGGTAAGACCACTCGGTTGGTGGTGGATACCCCCAATGATTGGAGAAGCCATGAGAATCCATGTTTCATATCTGCACCAGCAAAAACAGAACACCCAAGTGAAAAACAAGGATGGAAAAGAAAAGAAAATGCTAAAGTAACAAACTTCTGTCTTTCCTAATAATCTAGAAAGTCCACGGCAACGGCGCCAAAAACTTAACACTGTACGACACAACACCTAACAATGGTCAAGTGTAACCAATGAAAGGGACTGCAGTATAGTGGTGCAAGTAATAAATATCGAATCCTCGGGTCTCTAGATGTACTATTACTCAGCTTCAGTTCATTATCTAGCAAATCAGATTAAGGATTGATTAACTAAACTACTCTACTAACTAAACTAAGTAAAACTACTAATTACAGTTTGGAAACTCACTTAGGTATGATTCCCCCTAGCTCCTCAATTAGGTTCAAGTTGTAATTCCTTTTGGTTGTTTTACTGTTGATTAAACTGCGAAAGATCCTAAAGTAGCTTAGAATCTCTTAAGCTGACCAAGCCCTCTTAGACAGAATACCCGACAGGCGAATAGTCTTCACCGGGATAGACTGCTAAGGCGATTCACACGGATATCCACTACTGGAATGAATTCCAGTACAAAGCAGTTAATTGACTGACTCTCGCACAACCAATTCACTACTATCAATCAAGGAAGCTCTCTTAACCTAATCAGATTCTATCTATCAAAGATTAAATTAGAAATCAAGAGAATTTGATAAAGATTCAATTGACTCAATAAATCATGCCTCAATCGATTATAATCACACAATATAGCATCCAAAACTTCATACAAGAAAGATCCTAACATATGGAACTAGGGTTCCACCTAAGTGAAGGGAAGTTAATCCATAGAGAAGAGAGAGACTGCAGAAATCTGATCTAGATCTTCAATATCCATCTCCAAGTTTGATTCTCGAGCTCCAATGGTGAAGAAATCCTCCAAAATAGCTCCAAGAATGGCTCTAGATCACCCTCTCTCTCTCTTTAGTTCGTCTCTTGGGTGTTTGGGATCCAAAACCCAGCTCTCCCTCTCCAAAAATCGCAAAACAACTTTTATACCCGCTGAAACTCGCACCCCCTACTTGCACGGCCGTGCAAATTGAGGTTTTGGCCGTGCAAAAACCCCTTGGGAAACCCACACGGCCGTGCAGAATTTCACACAGCCGTGCACAATTTCCAGCATGCACTCCTAAGCTTCGTTGATCTCGTTTGAGCTCGTTTGACCTCCGATTCAGGTGCCGTTTAATCCCAGATGCTCGTAGTCTTGTCCTCTTTCTTTTCATAAAAAGCTTTCATGATTCTTTTTCAGTAAAATGAGGTATAAATCCATTCTTTCTCAAGTCATTCCCGAGTTTCTCACTCCGAGTCGCCAATTGATCTCCTATTGACTTGAAACTTGCCCCTATGCTTCACTTTACATGCTAGGACATGAAATGTGACAAAGGAACATAACCTAGCGTAAAATAGTCAAAGAAATCAAAAACTCAAGCCAAAATCAAGAAACGAGGGTGCAAACATGTGCAAATTCGACGTTATCACTAAGAGAGTGGTGTTTGGCTACTTGTTACACTTCCCTATGGTTTACAACCCCCACACCACACACACCATTCGATCCGACAAGTCGTAATTGCTAGCTAGTGGGAGCAACACCCGGGTGAAGCCTTCTCAATTAGTGTCAAATCGATTTATCTTTGCAAGCACTTTAGCTATAGATAGTTGTTTTCACCAAAAATCAACCGCTAGATAATGTTACAAACAATCGAAGTAGGAGTACATGAACCGGTACGGGTCGATATTTAAACTTACTTGTCATGTACTGCACCCGATTAAGGTTTATAATTGGGTCTTAATCGTAAGTTTTAAAGTGCTGCATTCGGGTTGAGTCACAAACTATCGAGTTCGAATGCTCAACACCCAACGACTGTGTAAGTGGGATGGAAGATTGGAGTTTGACAACCTTGATAGTAAGTCAGGTTTTTGCATATTGAAAGAATTGTGAAATTGTTTGGCTAATATTATGGATAGTCATATTAATATGGAACCTAAAAGTATTGTTTAGACAAACCAGGAGCTAAAATATTGGTATGAAGAGAACTGTGAAATATAAACGCCAAAGTTTTAATTATGGCTGGCGTGGTTTTCTTTCTAGGTTTGGGCTAAAATTTCTCTAGTAGATTCCTCTTGGACTTATATGAAGACTTCATGAAAGTTACTTCTTCATTGGGCTTCGTTTAATGAACTAATCATTCTTGATCTTCTAGTAATTAGCCATTTTGATCTTTGATCCAATTGTTGATCCATATCATCTTAAATTGCATTTGATCTTGAAAATAACAAAATAATACCAAAAAGCATAAAATGATAGTAAAACACACCTTACCTTAGGTCTACTATCAGTTCATTGATCAAATAGTTATAAAATCCATACTAAAATATAGTAAATTGTACAAATATGGTAAATGATAAACTCTATAATTTCAACGTTATTTATAACGACATATATATATGATAGTGGAAAAACAAACTTTGATATTGAATGCGTTACTAAAGTAACCCGTGATCTGACTAATAAAATGGATGAAGTAACAACGGTCCACATCAAAATTACAAATGACTTGCATTAATGTGATAGTTTAATACACACTTGTTGGGTACACTCCGATGATCTTGTATATATAAATTATAGCTTATATACTATTTAGACAATTCCATGGTACAGCCATATTTGAACTCATTTCTTGAATTCTGACTTCGTGATTCTATGGTGCTGAGACGTGGTTGTTAATTAAACTGTGCAGGCGAGGAAGGAGATACTTCAGTGCTCTGAGATTGAGCAGCAAACTGCAAGTTCCACAGCACGTCCTCCACGGAAGGCCTATCCCCAGGGTTCTTGTTTAGGCACCTCATGCAGATCTCCATTGTCGTCTTCACCGACTGAATAGAGCTTCCCCTTTGAACAGCTTGATCAACCATGCTTCTCCTCGTCGCTGCATCTGATGCAATAGCTGCTTGCAGCTGCACAATGAGGAAGAAATGACACTAGTTGAATGTTGACTCCAAAGTTTGAACCCAGCTGGCAAATGTTGACAAGGAAGGAATTTATCGATCTTACTTGGTATTTTACTGCATCTACTTCATTCCTAGATTCCAATGGTCTCCCCACGATGATCTCTAAGAGTATGATGCCAAAATCGTAGACCTCAGCTTTCGCTTCTTGATTGGTCCTAAGAGAGATTCCACTTCCAACGAATTGGCGATTTTATGGGGACAAATCAACGGATGAATCTAAGGAAGCTACTTGGAACTTATTGAACAAACCTTGCAGGGTTCTTGGAGCCAGCTGAAGAAGTCATGCGGCCGACCTGAGGTAGATGGAAACTTCAATCAAGTCAATTGAAAAGGCAAAGAGAAGGAAAAAGACATCCGAACAGAAATTTATGAGCTTTTACCTGTCCTGTGATCTCTGCAAGTAATGGCAGGTTATAACTGCTAATTTTTGCCACAAGGTTCTGATCCAGCTGAACATCTGTTATCTTCAGATTGTTTGCATATACACCAGGCACAATCCCTGTGTGCAAAAACTGCATCCCTTTGGCCACCCCAATTGCAGCAGCCAGCCTTTGTGTCCAGTTCAGCTTTTGCCTAGTGTGCCTCTCTGCATTAGTGGAAATGAACAAGTGTTTGTCAGTTCGAATAGAGAAGTTACGATGTGGATTTTCAACCTTGATTCATTAGAGTATGACTGTACCGGAGACCCAGCTCCTTAGGTTCCCATTTGATACATGTTCAAAGATGAGAAATATTCTGCTGACGCTCGAATCATCCAAGTAGCACTCGAAGCAGTGGCCTAGAGCACTTGCCAGATGTTTGTGCCTCAGCTTTGAGATCAGCTCTATATGGTGCATGAATGTTTGTGTGCTGTAGCTTCTTTTCATTTTCAGGCATATAATTGCTACATAAGATCCATCCTTCAGCTTACCCTTGTACATCTGATAACCATGAAGCATAGACAACAAAGTGAGGAGCTAATGGCTAATTTAAGGGAATAAGTGAGGAGCAAAGTGCTTATAATTGTATAAGATTACCTGTCCTTGAGAACTTTCGCCGATGAATGCTGATGACTCGAAGTTGTTCGTAGCCTCCTCGATCTCTTCCAACGAAAAGGACCGATATGCTGGGAGGCTAAGTGCTCCTAGTCTCATTGTTTGAGATATATATCCTTCATGGTGGAAGAAACATAACGGGTTACCATATTTTCATTTCTGATCCAACAACACTTCAAACTAGCTTATACAGAAAAAATGAAGCAACCAACTCCCAATTGTAAAGTTATTCAACTGCACAGTAAGGTCATTCGTTCAGTCTCAATGGATATGGTATCATCAAAAAGTAAAGCGGATGTGAACATAGAGGAGGGGAGATGAAACTGTAAAACTTTACTTGCATCTTGAAGCAACTTGGACGGGTAACCAGTTGATGCATCCTCCATAATTAGCCTTGTCGGATATTTCTTGATTTCCTTCGAGGCGCTCACCTTTCTAACCAACAAGAAAATCAAAGTAACAAGTGCAATGCCTCCAACAACTCCACCAATTACACCCAGGGCAATAATTGCTGCTTTAGAGCTTCTTCCTTCCCTATTCTTCATATGTGGAATGACACCAACTGCTAAGGCTTCATTGCGACAGAATGAAACCGGTTTTTGGCTTTGATCATCTCCAATTTCCAGGCAGTTTCCATCAGATATAATAGTTTTCTTGGAGTGAAGACACTTAGGTAGATGTCCAGTTAGAAGGTTGAATGACAAGTCAACGAACTTCAGCTCACCACTACATGATTGGTTCTCAAAGAGCATTCCAGTGAACTTGTTGCTCCCCACGTTTAAGTAAGTAACAGAAGGCAATGCCAACAAACACGGCGGAAATGGGCCCACAAAGTTATTGTTGGAGAGATCAAGCCGTTCCAACTGATAGTAAGAGCTTATTTCAGTAGGGAGTCCATCTCTGAACTTGTTCTTGCTCAAAACCAAAGTGACCAACTTGTTCCCGAGCTGAGGAAACTCGGTCCCAAAGTCATTATCTTCTAAATCAAGCACCTGAAGGTTGGTCAACCTGCTAAAGTCCGGTACTTCACCACGAAAGTAGTTGTGTGAAAGTGAAAGAACTCTGAGATTCTCCAAATTGCTTAATGAATCAGGTAATGTCCCATTAAACATGTTCTTCCTCAAACTAAGAACAGATAATGCCGGGAGCGACCCAAGCCAATGTGGCAGCTCCCCAGCAAACATGTTATCATCGAGTGCCAGTGATTGGAGGGTAGACAGTGATGAGAGCTCTCCAGGGATGGTATCATATAGAAAATTGGAGCTCATGTTGAGAATTTCCAAAGATGACAACCGAGCAATTTTGCCAGGTAGTGAACCCCATAAACCAAGAGAAGATAGTGTGAGGACTTTCAGGGTTGGAAGACTTACCAGAGTTGTGACAAAAGATTCCATGGAGAAGTTTCTAGGGAGAAGAGATCTTCCCTTGTTTCCAATGATGTGGAGCTGGGTTATGGTGTCCTGGTAGCAGACCACAGTTACAGATGAAGTGGGATCTAGGCTGCAGAAATCAGTTGAGCTTTTCCAGGTGCTTAGGACGGGTGGATTGTTCAAAAGGTGTTGAATCCTTATGAGGGTTTGACCCTGGGACGACTGGAGTTGGTCTGAGTGATTAATTGAAAGGGAGATGATCAGGGAAACTAAGACTACTACTGCAGACTTCTGGAACCCCACCATTGCCGCACAGAAGAAGAGAGTTTGCAAAGCTGTTACAGGACAAGAACAGGAAGCAGCTAGTTAACCTTACAATGAACCTTTTATTATACAAATTCAGAGAAGGAGGTTCTGCCGTGGAAGTGATCTTACCTAACTAATCATCTCTTCCTGTTATTTCACATGAAAACAGATAAATTTTGGGGTATGTGTAGAAGAAGGAAAAGCTTACCTTTTTAAGCACTTTTCCTGTTTTCAGCTAATCAGCTAAGTCGGTAGCATACAAGTACACAAATCCCACAAGTAACTGGTTAATCCTCCAGGTGGAAAGGCAACTGGGAACTGCGAAGAGGAGAAGAATTTCTGGTGAGGCTTCCAATTCTCCATGAGGAAATTCCAGAAACAGTGCGTCTGCAACCCATCTCCCTTAAGAGACTAACAAATTTCTACAAATCAGCTACAAACCCACTTCAGAAGAAGAACCGAGGAAGAAAAACAACAAAAGGACAAAGCTATTTATTCCCACAGAAACTTCCATTTCACACATTCAGAAAGACCACCCAATAATAACCAATTATGCAAGCCATCCAGGGTCAGTGATAATGAGCAGCAGAAAAGGAAAGGAAGGAAGAAAGAAAGAAAGCCCCAAACTTTAACATCGAAAGGGAAAACAGTTGAAAACAAAATCTGATCAAATCCACCCAACTTTGACAGTGAGGGTTGGGGACCGGAGAGACCCTTCTCCTAGAAAATTCTACTGTGATCAATGAGCCCACCTGCGGCCTACTGAACCAAAAACTGAAGTGGACAGAATGGAGTGACAGAGAGAGACCCTTCTCCTAGAAAATTCTACTGTGAGGGTTCGCAGACAAGCTAGTATTAAGCTTAATCTAATCCATTGGGAGAAAGTTTACAGCCTTTGAGAGTGTCTTTCCAGGCGAGTTCTCTTACCCAGCCTATGAATTACCGGAGAGCCTGTTTCAGTGGCAATTGCCTTGACAGAAAGAAGCTGATTTGGGGGTTTCAAATATTAGTTATTGATGACGACACGTTGAAAGAGATATGTGTTACCAAGTGTAGAATGACCTCTTTTTCAGGGTCCAAAAGAGAATAATAATAAGGCCACCGCCATGGATAAAAAGAGAGATTCTTGATGTGGGTGATGAGGCTTTAGTAGTCCTTCCAGTTCAGGACATGAAAGAAATGCATGCAAAGCAAAGGAAAGCAAAGGAGGAGAATTGAATTGAAGGAAACTAATAATTTATAAGATAGTGGTGGGGAATGAGATGGAGACCCGGTGAGGGGAAAAGGAAGAGTAAAATAGTAAGCCTTCAGTTTCAGAGCGAGGTGAGCAGAGCTTTTTGGCCTTTTTGTTTGGTTTGCATGTTCCCTTCCTTTCCCTGTTGGCTCTTTTTCTTTGCATAGTTCACATCCTAGTGGGTTCCTACTTCCTTATAAACGGCCCTCTTTAGCTTTAGTTGGCTCTATGTGCCATTTGGGCTGCTCCCCTGCTTACCCACCCTACTCTGCCAAGTTAAACTTGTTTATGAGAGGCTATTTGTGAGAGATTGGATAGGTTAAGAAGCCAACATGATCATGATACATGAAAGGATTCGAGAGATCACTAGTCCAATTGCAACATTGTCAAAACACCCCCCCCCCCTCCTTAATCTTGACGTTACTGTTACGAGATTATCAAAGCAATGGATTGTCTGTTTTCTGTGATAATTTCAACTTCGTATGTTCTTATATCGTGGTTAGTCATTCAAACTGCTAGCAATACCATTGAATGAATAATAAGTTCTCGACCATAGCATGACGACATGGTGTTCGTGTTGCTAAGCATAGTCAATTTTGTTGGTTGAAATGGTCGAAAATGGGGTCATTGGGGATTCAACCAATTAGTTAATGAACGACGATTTGGGTCAAGAAAAAATTGATCGATGTGATGATTGGGGAAAATTGCATCTTAGATACAAAACAAGAAAAAATAAGAGGCATGTTATTTGTCGCCATGAACATTACTATTTGCCGCCAACTAAAAAAAAAATTCAAAATTTGTTATATATACTTCTTCGATAGAGGGGTTCCACGAGCTCAACAAATATCCAACTTTCAGAAAACATGTTCAATCTTTAAAAAAACCGTGTTCGCGCCAGAAAACACATCAGAGAAGCCGAACCTCGACGTAAACTGCGCACATGCATCCATGAATCATCACTAAGCAGGTATTCTAACTTCCGGAATTTCGAACAATTTTTCTAGCGAGATTCAACGGACAGACGGGAGGACCAGAAGATTCCGGCGGTCAGGACCTGGCCATGCCGAAAGAATCCGACTGCCAGTACCTGGCCGGGCCGACGAAAAATCTTCGGTTCGGCCTGGCGTAGGCCAAAATTTTTCAGCCTAGTCATTTACAGTCACCAATTTAGAGTTTAGGAGTTGAATTTAGGGTTTAGGAGTTGAATTTAGGGAGTAAGGTTTAGCTTCACATTAATATTGATGTGTTATATTGTAATTGTAAGAAAAATGTCAGAATGGTTCGAGCCCGACACTCATTACACAGTTTTTTAGACGGACAACCATTATGCAACTTTGGAGTTAGCTGTGGATCATGCAAAAGCAATCGCTTAATCGTGTGGGTTCTTTATTAGTAGAGGAGCATGGAAACTGAATACGGAAGCAGAGCATCCTGTTACTGCCCTCTATATGTATTGCGACAGAAGCAGTAGGATCGAGAAGTCTTACAAACCATACCCTATGAAGGAGATGCGTGGGAATTCTAGTTCGAAATGTACTAATTGCGAGTTTCATATATGTATTAAAGAAGTATGGCAACATAATGGTCCAAACACTAGGGGCCTCCAACCTGCCATGCAGTTGCTCTGAGTTCATCCCAAGAAGTGCACACAAGCCCACATCCGCTCAGTCACACTCCGCTCGACTCCTGCTAATCAGTCGATCCTCTATAGGAATCTGTAGTAGGTATAGAAACATCGTGGATGATGATCGTCATCTCTCCAAAAGGCATGTGTAAGGTATTGGTGTTTGGTTGCCACCTCTCCACAAAATTAAAGTTGAAATCAGAGCCTTGTCAATCAATATCTTGCGGAACATACAATACATCAAGTGCTGGAGATCTGCATTCTGAACCAGCTCCTCCTCCTCACCATTCTGAACCGCGCATGTACGACTGTAGCAAATGATGACCCCTACGTCTCCAATCCTCGTCCAAAGCGCATGTGACATGGCAACGGAAGCTCCTAAGAAGGTTAGGATCACTCGACTCCTGCCCTCTCCTACTTCGTCTAGTCTAGGAGCTCTCTATCTCCTCCCGAGCAAGGTCTACAAACTGCCGACCTTGGTCCCTTTACATAGCCAAACGTGATGAAGCCGTGTAGGACGGCTCCCGTCCACATCCACGCTTGGCTGGATGGGCCTAGGGATCCTCATCAGACTCAAGCTCTAAGCAATGATCATCAATATCTAATTATCTACAAATTTACACCATACCATACTTAGATGTGCACTAAATTCTAGATTATCTATATTTTTTAAACAATTCAAATTATTCATTAAAACACTCTCGATAATTATCCATTAACTAATTTAATTAACTACTCAATAAATACGTTGAAATTATATTATTAACTAATTTAACCAAATTATAACACCAATCATCAAATCAATCACTAACTAATTAATTATTCATTAACAAATTGAATCAAATAACTAACTGGTCATTAAAATATTAAAGAATTATTCATTAACTAATTCGAGAAATGATTGTGTAACACTATTCTTTAAATCAACTAGCCTATAGCCCGGCCCGTTGGCCGTAATTGTTTAAGGAAAATGGAGTTACAATATCTATAATGGTAGTGTCGAGAAATGAGTCTTGTTTTATATTATCATAAGATTGTTGCAATTTTGCAATTCGTTGAAGACGAACATGTAATTTGAATGAACATTCACAATAAGTTTGAAATAAAGTCATTATTTAATTAAGGGAAAAAGCATACCATTCACACACGTATTGTAAGGATGAGGAGGATACATTTGAAGATTAGCTAATCAAGATAAAAATACTTACATGAAATTTTACTAATCACAAATCTAATCTAGTTGAGTATTACGACAAATAACATGCAGGTCCAAAATAGGAAAACTCAAGACATTGTCTCATTGTTCATGACATGGTACTCAATTCAACAAAGGCAAAAATAATTTCACCAACACAAGTTCACAATAACCAAATGCATTGTTCCAGGGACCGACTGTGACCATGACTTCAAATGTCTGTCCTCCAAGCATGTTCAGAAGGGCCCAATGCAGTCAAAAGCGCGATTCTACCTAGAAGCGGAAATGGGGTAAAATCGTAAAACGTAGAATTAAAGCGTAAAAGCGTAAGTTTTTGACGCATACTGTAAAAGAACTAAAAATATGTTAAGTACGACATATACTATGAAAAATATGAGTGCAAAAAATTTAGATAAGTTAATAAATACTTGCAATTCATGTCTAAAGTAGAGCAACTTATAGTCTCTTAATAATAAGTTCATAAACATAAATCTTATCAAGAAGCCACCTTCCCCTCCATGCTAATGAATTTTAGAAGAGCCTAGACTGTGAATTAGATTACTTTATGAAGTTCAGAATGCATCAAAGTATCTGGTATGTATCTTTTAATCTTAAACATATCATATTGTCGGTGATTTATTTTTAAAATATACTTTTATAATTAATTTCATGAAAAGAATACCCATTCAGTGAAGTAAAAGCGTAAAAACGCACAGCGTTTTAGTGAACTAGAAGCGTAAAACCGTACGTTTTTAAGTTTTAAAGCGCAATTTAGTCTGATTTTATACACTAAAGTTTTTACATAGAAACGAAAGCGTTTTGGTGACCTAGAAACGTAAAACCGTAAGTTTTTAAGTTTTAAAGCGCGATTTTGACTACATTGGAAGGGCCATATAGTCAGCATTGACAACATCTGCATGACTGAATACAGATCCAACAATCGTTCGTAACTGTGATGACGGGAAGACGATGTCAACACCAATAAAATCGTCCTCAATTATGAGGTGGACGAAATGGATTATGGATGCAGGGGACCAGGACGTCGTCAAATCCGTTACACGTCCGGATAACAGAAAAGAGGTGCCCTGATGTAAACACAGAAACGAATATGGTCAAAGCAAATCGAGAAAATACAGCATGCCACAAAAGGCGTATGATTAAAAAGAAATTTATTTGTTTAGTTACCTTATTTTCGACATCCATTATATATATATATATATATATATACGGATGTAGCTGTAGTGGTCTTTTATATGTATGCAGAATAGGTTTAGGTTTGTAAATAAGGGCCTCAACAAAATAAGGGCCTCCACTAAGATTAAAAAGCCTAATACCAATTTAGAATACACAGTTTTATTATGGGCCTCTTTTAAAATCAAATAAAATAGAATTATTGTTTAATAAGCCACAAGATAGTTAACAACACTTTGCGCCCAAATTTCATGGTCTGCCGTATTATTATTCATTGTTTTCCTTTTCAGCTTAGTAATTACTAATTAGCTGTGTAAACTTGTGATCTAAACTCAACTCCAAATTATTTACTTCTATTAATTTAATATTTTTTCTTTTTTCTTTGTTTTTTCTCTTAGCTTTTCTCCTCTTAGGATCAATTCACCTCTCTATTATTCAATTTTGAATTATATTATCTTGTTCAACTATCATCACATCATTTAAATGATAATTATTCTGTTATGAATAATGAATCACCAACAATTATCATCAATCATCTACTTCAGCCACACCTTGTCTTGTT